GTTTGAGAGGGGGGGGTGATGTGAGCGGGTACCGTGTGATCGACGAGCATTTAAAGAATGCTGCCGTCAGTTTTTTTGAGAAGATGGTGTACGTATCATCTTTCTCTTCGTATCACATGGAGACACTGGCTGAGCTAGTAGGCGACGCGGAAATAAGTCCGAGAGCAAACGGACCTTTTTCTAAAGTTTCCAGCATCGCGCGAGGGTTTGGGTGGGGTGCTATGCTTGTATTGTTTGTTGTTTTACTGCATGTGTGACGAAGAGGAAACGCAAAAATATAATTGCTTCCCTACATACAGTGCAGGGTTTGGGTTTCGGGCGCCACCTCTGCACTGCTGCTGCTGCCCAAACGACAAGTACGTGGGGTATGCGAGTACAGCCCGCCGCCAGTATTTGATTCTGGAGAAACACCTTGCGGCGAAAGGGAAAAGCCATACACATACATGCATACATGCTGCTGCTGTAGGTGGCGTTTTTCTTGTGGACGTGCGAGGACTTTGACACCGCGAAATAAGGCCGGCGGTGTGCCTCGCTCGACCCAAACAGGCGAGCCGAGTTAGGCTTGTCTAGCCCTCGCACATGTCGGCTATGACGGCTTGACAACAGTCTTCGGCGCACATGAGGACAGCAGGATCTCGACACAACGTAGGCCTCCTCCCATCTTTGGGCGGCCTTATGGCTGGGTTAAAACTTTCTCCTCTAGGGGGCTGGTCGAGGAAATTGCGTAGTGGTACTTGATTCTCTGTCGTTGGACCAAGTCATGACACACAACGTCCGTCCCTCGCGACGTGCCTGGCCCATCATCATCGACGCCACGGGAAAAACGGGAACAACAACAAAAACAATTCTTCCGTGATCACAGGCCGTCGACTACCCCCCCCCAAAGAGACACCACGTACTATTTATTGTTCGGTCTGTTTTGGTTGTTGCACAGGAAGCCGAAGCAGTTCGTTTAATGTCCGCAGTCGAGGAAAGCGAGGGGACGGCGCCGTGTCACGCAGAAGAGCGTCCCAAACCAGAGCTAGCTACTGTACCAACGCACGACCAACGACGGTATTTACCATGGCAGAGAGAGGTGTTGCGAATATGGGAAAATTACATGAAGACCAACCGCCAACAACACCGCCAACAACGCCAACGGCATAATAAAATCGAAAACAGCAACAACCGCCACGACCACCACAAGGCACCATCACCATCACTACCCGAAACAGCAACATCGACAAGAACACCATCGCCAATAACTTAAACAGCAACATCGACAATAACCCGCAATCGATCCTCCTCCCCGTCCGGCCACGCCTGCATATATATATCCCGTGCGTTGTCCCTCCCTGTCAATCTCCGCAAAATCACAAAAGACCACCCACGGTGTGCCTCGACCTCGTAAAATCGGAGAGATAGTGAAGACACATGCATGCGCGATCACGTTTGCAACAACGACAAATAAGAATTGACAGGATAACGTAATAACCACTTCGAAAACAACCAAGCAACATATCGGAAACAAACAAACAAAAACGTACTTGTACACGAAAGCGGAAGGGGGGGGAGGGGGGCTTTATACGAGTCTGCGACGCCGACCCTCCCCTGTAAAAAAATGTCCGATGGCAAACAACACCCGCGCCATATCAGGCAGTATCGGGGGGAGGATTTTGTGGAAGCTAGCTCACAAACACACACACCGAGCGTCGCTGCGTTGACGTCTAGACTATACCCCTATCATGGAAAATATCGGTAGGAAGGAAATCGCGAAATAGCTATTACCAAAACTCAACACGAGACACAGAAAGGACGCTGAATCTAAGGCGCTAGCACGACAAAGCACTCCTTCATTTCGACCAAAAGCAACAGTGCCCGCCGCACTAGTATCTACACCTACCTGCACAGCGCCGTATGCAAACAGAGCATGGTTGACGCGGTCTCGTCCCATCGACTCTTCTTCTTGTTGGTCTTCTCCATCAACGAAAGGGCTTGTTGTAAAGTAGCACACATACACACGTCGCGCGGGCCTCCAGGCAGACGCTGTCAACACCGTACGTATCCACCTCGGCCACTCACTGCTGCCTGTCCCTCTCTTATGCCTGCTGCACTTCAGACCCAGCAGACCCATCTCCTCCCTGTTCGTCGACTTTGGTCTCTCCCTGGGCTTCGACCATCTTGATAATGTGTCCCATCACCTTCTCGAAGGTGGCCATGTCTCCGCGGTTGTTCAGGTCGCTTGCCAGGAATGTCGGGAGGTAGCACGACACCTGTGTGAAGCGGGATGTGGTCGTGAGACAGCGGACAAATGACAGGGAATAAGCAGAGGTTAGACGGGCTTAACACGGGGAGGTGCTCGAGCCACAGCTAGCGCGCCTCCAGCACTTGGTTGTACGATTTATCAAGAACAGCGAAAATCGCCCCATGTTTGGATGCGGTTGCAAATTTGGTGGATGTTCGTTGTAAGGCTGGGTCAGACTAGGCTTAGAAACCACATCTCAGCATCTGCGAGGTAACCCTGTGACCTATTTGGCCTGTTGGGTCGGTATGTAGCAAGGAATTTCTGGCCTTGCAGGCTAAACGGGTTGTACGTGTCAAGCCAGCACCAACAACCACAACAACAATAGGAACCCCAAGGAACGATGGAAACAACGGAACTTCCATGAAAAATGCATACTTCGGACACAACAAATGGTGAATCTTGTCAGAGCCCCCGGATCCCGCTCCCCTCCCAAAGCAGAGAGAGAGAGAGCCAAACCCCACACGCGCACACGATGGTAATCGAGTATCGTCGTCTAGCCATGAGAATGATGTATGGTATGGGGTGTTGCTGGGGGAGGTGGGCCGTGGTCGTTTAGTTTACTCACCATGTCCCTCACGCTAGTCGGGCCCAGGTCCGGGTGCAAGTTGTCGACCGTCATGAGTGTAGTGAAAGCTCCTGTCGACATCGTCCTCTCCATTACGTTCCTCTAAGCAAAGAAGAAGCACCGAGGGTATTCGTACAATGTAGCGCCAGGTATGTCGCGGGAGGAGGGGGTGGATGTCAATTGTCAACGGAGCAAGGTGCATTCAATCCGGATATACTGTAGGCCCCGTTACTGAACGTAGTGGGAGTGGTGCATGCATACAGAATATATGTTTTTTTTGTTTGAGCCAGCGCGATTGCGTATATGTATGCATAGTCCGTACGCGCTTGACCTACACGGTAGCACACGTCAATCAAGAACGTGAAAAACATCTGGAACAAGCACCTTCTCCAAAGCTCATGTCCACGGGATGCACTCGTTGCTTTCAACGGGCTAGGAAGAACGCCTCTCCTCCGTGCTATTCGGGTTTTTTCATGTTTTCTTTTCGCCCCCCCTGCAGAAGAACAATGTTCGGGATCACACTGTCGGAAACACACTGCCAAAGGCCTACAGTAGCCATAAACACAGCGAAAACCTTACACGGAGGATGAAAACCTAGACCTCCTTCGTGCATGCCCACGCAATTCCTACCGGCCGACCGACCAAACCTGCGGGGGGGAAGTATCCCCCCCCTCTTCCTCGAATGGCCTTGGCCGTGGCAGCTTGATCACGGAATGGAAAGTCCTTGATCTCGACTCAAGCAATGACATAATATCGAGCACGATTAGGTGCCGACAAGCAAAGCAGGCTGTACACACCTCGAAGATGTCTCTCAGTGTCATGGCCAACGGACCGCCCCCTTTCGCCTCCAGGGCCTTCTTGGCCTTCGCCTCCGCTGCAGTGAAGAGGTGCTTTTCCATTCAATGACAGAGAAACGAACCGAAGTCGAGAGGCATCAAAACGGACGAAATACCGCAAGACGTGATAGAAAAAGATGGCAGCCTGTATCACCTTGGTGCCCCCCTTTGGCAGTGCACAAACATCAGCTTGCTTGGGCGGTAGGGTTGTTATCGTACGTGCTTTCACATGCGATAAAACTCGAAGACATTCCCCCGCAAACAACGGGCTCGATTCCGAGAAGACTGGAGGATTGTATGATCTCGTGGTGTTGCACGGTTCGCGTACTTGTCTCGGCGAGATGTTTTTGGTTGTTGCTGTTGTTGTCCTTGCGGTTGATGCCGCCGTTCTGCGGGAGGGGGTGTAAATGGTCCAACTCGGATGGCGGAGGTCGACATAGAGCCACGTTAGTACCGGTGAGACAAGAGCCCTACACGCCCTCTTCTCTCACCGGCGAGATGAACATGTTCGCCTGAACCTTGTCGGGAGTCACGCAGATGATGAAGGCCATCGCACCCATCGCGAACGTGTCCTGGCTTGGGCAAGCTGGTACCGATGCCTGCATCACCTCAAGAGGCATGCTCCCGAGAGTTCCCATCATCTTGGGACGCATCTCTCCGAGCGCTGGATCAGTAGGAGAGGGCGGGGGGGTGTTACTGTTGTCTTGCCTCGTTGTAGTGATTTGGGGGTTACGGTTCTCATGGCCTTCCCATGTGGGACATTGTACTTCGGAATCCTGTCAGGTGCACCGCCGCATGATGATGCACTCCCTTCCCGTGTACAACCACGTCAAGCCAGAAGAAGTACGCACAATTCTCAGGGTAAAACGCGACATCGGCGCGGTGCATCTCTCTTTAGTACCTCGGCGTATCGAGTGATGCTGCACCCTACCCCCCCCCCCCCCCAACCATCGTCTGGTGGTATGTCTGACTCCCTTTCACCTCGGGCAAGACCGAAGTCGGAAACCTGGGGGATGCATCCCCCGTACCCGTCGTCGACCAGCAGGATGTTTGGCGGCGTGAGGTCCCAGTGGCCGATGCCTGCCTTGTGCATGTGTCGCACGCCGGAGGCGACCTGCCGCAGGCAGTTGCCGAGGTAGGTACACGAGGGAGGCGTGCAACCAGTCAGAACAGAGAAGACCATAATGATGCAGAATATCTTTGATTATTCTCGTGCTAAACTATGAAACTATGCAAATAGCTGGAATTGAAGGCACCAGGGTGAGAATATCTCAGATAGACAACAATAGAAGCTGACATTGTTGTTGACATAGTGTTCATCAGAACACACCACGAGACACCCAGCGGTGGCCTGTCCATGTGCAACGAACGATGTCTGCCACGCTGCAATACGCTGAAAAACGTCTCCTCTGGGTATTGACTCATCGATTTTGGAACACCATTTTGCCGCTTCTTTCGAAGAACCTTCGACTGATCGATCGATTATCTTTGGTTCAATACGTACGTACGTCTACATCACGCACAGCCTCCGTATCTTGTATCATCTTGAGTGCGAGAAGTTCAGAGTTCGCATTTAGATCAAAAGCACCCCCACCGGATGTCTATGCCGACCCCACCAGCGTTTCGAGACACCTCCCTCTCCCTTCTTGAGCTACCCCGTATGGTTCTAAGGTCGGCGAACATGATTGATACCCAATCCCGTCTCCGTGTACCTCTTGTAGGCATGCGGCAGATAGGTATTCCACATTCGGCAAGGTTGGCGGGAGGTACTCCGTACCATACCCCCAACCATACACGATCCCCAACGCAGCGGCATTGGGACACGCACATATGCATACCTAAGCTTGTCCGCCATGGCCCAGTCGCCGTCGTTCAGCAGCTGCCCAAAGTCGCCATGCGCCCTGGGTAGAAGAATAGGCATGCCGATAGCGGCTGCCCGGTCGTCGATGGAGACTGCCCCAATGATGTTGGGGTGAGGGTCCTTGGCGAGCCTGGGGGGGGGGGGGGGGGGGAGGGGACAACAATTTACAGCGGGTCGCACACATGCGATGGTGCAACGTGCGAGGTGCTTACACAGCAGTCAAGTGGGAACGTCATTTTTCCCAACTCTTGGAAGAACCTTCGACCGATGGATGCATTCGTTTTGGTTCTACACGTACGTCTATGGCACAGCCTGCACAGCCTGTGTGTATCTTGTACTGCTGTAGGAGACGAGGCGGTGTACACGCGAGGAGTGCTAACTTCGCAGTTTTGTCGAAACCACCCCGCTGCGCTGGATGCCCCCGCCGACCCGGCGTTTTGAGGTATCTCTCTCCCTTCTTGAGTTACCCATCCGACTAAATAGATGTTCGCGGACACGATTCCCAGCCACCTCCTCGTGTACCTCTGGTAGGCATGCGGTAGTCGCTCATTTCGTGGTGTTTCGCGTGGTTCAGCTGGAGGGGGGGCACTCCCCAGCGTTACCTCCAACCATACAACAAGATCCCCAACGTAGCCATGCAGCGGGCCTTGGCACACACACATGCCTCACCTTCTGGACCAGCCGTAGATGAGCGCCTGCCCGAAGTCGCCATGCGCCCTGGGTAGAAAGATCGGCATGCCGACGGCCGCTGCCCGGTCGTCGATGGAGACTGCCCCGATGACGTTGCGGAGGGGGTTCTTGGCGAGCCTGGGGGGAAGCGTACACCCTCCCAACGCAAGCCTCGCCAAGAAC